GTGGTGAGGACGACGGCGCTGATGAGCCTATCCGAATATGAGGACGAGGCGATGGACGCCTGCCTGAATATGAGGATGACGGTGGTAATGAGCCGTGATATAACAGTTGTGGACATATAAAAATTATTGGACCAGTTGTGATGACTATTGGACTTCTTTAAAATCTACGAGATTATTCTCAATCATTTTGGGCCTCTTTTGAAATTGTATTGAGCCAACGTCAACTCTACTGGGCTGCTTGTGGTGGTTGTTGGGTCTTATAAAATATTAATATGCACCCATTCGGATAAAATTTAATAATTGAATTAATCTGGGTCATTAAAAAAATACCCAATTGATTTAATTATAAATTAAATCTTGTAAAGAATGGACCGGTCCTATTAATGTTGAGCCCATTATCAAATATTTGCTCAATATATAAGAGTCATGATCCAATTAATAAAGAGAGCAATGAATGTGGTTAAGAAATCCATCTGTATGCAAGAAAAATGGCTATGAACCTTGTTAAAAAGGCTATCCAGATACATCGGACAAGTGCTTATTTTTCTAGCTATTAAAATGCAAGAAATAGAGCCCAAAGCCCATTTTCATTGAGGCCCAAAGGGTATCGACGAATTTCCAAAACCCTAAAGCATATTTTCATCCCTCCACACCTATAAATAGGGGTCTCAGTTGAGAGGGAAGAGAGAGAATTTTCAGACAAAGAAACGCTGTAGAAAAGCTCTCAAGAACTCCCGAAAGGCTCTGAACGACCCCGAAGAAAAGGAATAGATCAAACCACGAATTTTATTAAGAACATACGAATAATCATTCGTGATTTCGTCGATTCTTAATAAGACAAATCCAAAAGATGAAGAACGTTCGAAGATCTGAAGAACGAAGCTTGAAGATTCGAAGAACTGAAGAACAAGACTTTGAAGATTCGAAGATATGAAGAACGAATCTTTGAAGATTTGAAAATCATATGAAGATTGAATTGAAATTCAATGGAAGATCAAGCCATATATCCCGGTAGTCCCTTAAACAAAAGATCAAGCCATAAAACGGCCCTTTTGTTGAAGATCAAGCCACTTGAAAACCGAAGGCCCTTCAAGTTGAATTCTTAATTCAAGAATATTTGAAGATCCGAAGAACGAAGATTCGAAGATTCAAAGAACAAAACTTTGAAGGTTTGAAGATTCGAAGAACGAAGGTTCGAAGATTTGAAGATCTGACGAACATTCGAATATTTGAAGAATTAAAGATTTAATTTTGAATTAATTTCTTTAATTATATTTATTTCAAATTGCAAGTAAAGAATCAGAGGATTCATATTTAGAGATTGAACCCAATATTCTCATCAATTATTATTTGCGATCAATTTTAAGTGAATACTTAAAATTTGTTTCACAAATTTTTGACACGCCCGGTGGGACATCTCTACCTCTCATCTCTTCACTTTTGAAAACAACCCCATGTCATCAAACAAGCCCGTGTTCACTCTAAATTCTAGAGCATCATCAAGCTCGAATCAAAACATGCAAGGCCCTATCACTAGGAGCCGTTCAAGAATCATGACTGCGCAGTCATCTTCGGGAACTACTCCCGGTGCGATGGATAGATTTCAAATTGCGCAAGAGATGGTCCGGAAGCTTTTCTTCACCGATACGTGAAGTTACTTCCCCAAAATGGACAAGTAGTGGTGAAAGCTCATCATCTGGGTCAGACTCTATTTCCCCATCAACCTCTCCACGAAGAACTACTCCGCAGTGGTCAAATGTCTACACTGTGATGCCCACTATGATGACAAGCCCGACATCTATGGAAGAACAAATCGCCCATTTAACTAAGGTCATCGAGGGAATGAGCATGTTCATGCAAGCTCAAGATCAGAAGTTGAATGATCTGAACAACAAAGTGGAAAGTTTGAAAGGCGAGTCAAGTCATACCCATGAGAAAGATCCTGAAGTGCATGAAGATAATGATTCTCACCAAGAGGGTTCGGGAAAGAACATCTCAACCTCTGGGGGCATGATCCCAATTGATCAACTCAAAGACTTCATCATGGGAACCATAAAGGGGAAGATAGAAGGAATTCAATCTACTTACTCCTATGTTAAGCAATACACTCATAGAATCGAGTATCTGAAAATGTCCATTGGTTACCAGCCGCCGAAGTTTGTCCAGTTTGATGGGAAAGGAAATCCAAGACAACATGTTGCCCATTTTGTGGAGACTTGCAACAATGCGGGAACAAGTGGGGATCACCTCGTCAAGCAGTTCATGCGCTCCCTTAAAGCAAATGCATTTGACTGGTATACTGACCTAGAACTCGGTTCCATTGACAGCTGGCAAGATATGGAACGTGAGATCTTAAAACGTTTCTACAGCACAAGGAGGGTGGTGAGCTTGCTTGAGTTGACAACTACTCGCCAACGGAAAGATGAGCTTGTGATAGCTTACATAGAACGTTGGAGGGATCTTGCTCTAAACTGCAAAGATCGAATCTCTACAAGTTCTGCTATCGATATGTGCATTGAAGGAATGCATTGGGAATTGTGCTACATTCTCAGAGGAGTTAATCCAAACACTTTCGACGAGCTAGCAAGCAAAGCTCGTAACATGGAGTTAAGCATTGCAAGTAGTGGAAAGAAAGCCATGGGTATGTATCCCATAAACAATGCTGTTGAAAAACAAGATACCAAGAATGGGGGCAAACCCTTTTCTAATATTGAAAATAAAGAAGCAATGGTCATGAAGGTTGCACCTGTTAAGATCTTCTCTCAAAATTCAAAACAAGTTCCTAGGGTTGAATTGGAGGCATCGAAACGTGTTAAACCATTTCTAGAAGAGATGCTAGAAAAGAAATACCCCTTCTTAGACTCTGACGTTCCTCCCATGTTTGAGGAACTGATGAGATTGAAGCTTATTGATTTGCCCGAGTCCAAACGACCCGAGGAAGCTACAAAGATAGATGACCCCAATTACTGCAAGTACCATCGACTTTTAAGTCACCCCACTGAAAAGTGTTGGGTGCTGAAAGATAAAATTATGGCCCTGGCTCGTCAAGGAAAGATTGAGCTCGCCGATTCTGCTGCAAGCACAAACCAAATTGCCATCACTTTTGGTAGGTTTGCTCCGCTCATGGTCAACGACGACCTAAATTCTCACAAGCATGAGCTCCCATTTACTGTCAAGGGAATGAAAGGATGTCCTCCTCTCACTAAAAGAATGGTACTTGGGGATGTTGATGACAAAGGAAGACCATGGATCTTGTTGACTCGAAAGAAACAAAGGAAGAACCACAAACCTAAACCACAACCGAAGAAGGTGGTGAGAAATGGGTCATGCAACAACCGATAAATGAGTTGAAGAAAAGTAAGCAAAGCAAGGATCATGTTCGAGCCAAGGTTGCCCGAAGGCCGATTACTCTCAACGATTATATGCCAAAGGATTTCAAGAACAAAATGACTCAAATTTCAAGTTCTTGCCTTAGCACCCATGAGAAAGAAGTTGACAGTTCAAGTAGATGTTCATCTCCAGTTTCAATTGAGAAAGAAGTGGTTGAAGCACAAAAATCTACTGCATATGCCACTGACATTGTCTTTAAAGACGAAGATTTTATGTTGGGTGCTACTCCCCATAACCGTCCACTTTTTGTTGAAGGATACACTCGTGGACGAAGATTCAGAAGAATTATGATAGATCAAGGGTCCGCTATTAACATTTTGACGGTTCGAGCTATGAAAGACCTTGATATATCAATGGATGAACTCTCCCAAAGCCGTTTAATGATTCAAGGATTTAATCACGGGGGGCAAAGAGCGATCGGAATGATACATATTGATTTGCTCATTGGCGGGTTGAAAGCAAGTACTTTATGTCATGTCATTGATGCAAAGGCTTCATGTAATCTCCTTCTAGGCCGTTCATGGATCCATGAGAATTGTGTGATTCCTTCAACGTGGCACCAATGTTTCATGTATGAGGAGAACGGTGTTGTAAAGAAGGTAGTGGCCAATGAAACTCCATTCACAGAAGTCGAGACATACTTTGCGGATGCAAAGTTTTACCTAAAGGCCAAAGCTTCTAAAGATGACGATGGTAGAAAAGAGGAAGAATACTGCCCCTTGATTGAACCAAAGCTGAAAGGGAAACTTGTTGAAGGCGTAGAAGGGCTTACATTCCCTCTTGCAAAGATCGAGATATCAAGGCCTCCTAGAGACACATCTTAGGAAGAAATAAAGTGCAAGAATGATGTTAAAGAGTTTCAAATTCCTAAAGCACGCACTAATGAAGGATTTGACCCAAATGCATACAAACTTCTGGCCAAGGCTGGCTATAATCCTAACGAACAGAAGCTGGGAAAACTCATTCCAGAAGCTGGTGGAGAAGGGCCATCAAAGCAGATCAATCTTCGAGAACACATAGGATTGGGTTACGTTCAACCAAAACCCATAAGGATCCTCATAAATAGAGCCGCAACACATCATATCAATGTTGATGAGGAAGATGAAGTAAATTCTAAGCCGAAGAACTTCGTCTTTGATAGGATTGGGGGGGCAAGATCGAGACCCACCATCTATGATAGATTGGGTCCGAAACCAAAGACGGTTATGAAGAAGATTTACAAGATCGTCTTGAAACAAACCCGATGATGATGAAGCACATTGAAGACCCATGCATGGGACAAAACTTTGAAAGAAAGTCTGTTCATGAAAGATTGGGAGTGAAACATGAACACAATAAATCTACTAAAGTTCTTTCCAAAAAGCAAAGTCTTAAAGAGCACAGAAGTTCCATTCCATCTCGTATGAAGCGAGAAACTGATGTGAAAGTAACCTATGGAAATGCACTTAAAGTCAAACCAGTGACCATTGTGCACACTCATGGTCAATACGAAGACCAATATGTGAACTCCTACTTTACCAATTTTGAAGATTTAGTACCCTTGATGCGAGGGTATAGATATGCCAAATGAAATGTTGAATGGCTTAAACCACCAATGATGTTGAAAGTGGCTAAACTGCTAAAACATCTCACTTTGTCTATGGGTAAACATAATCATAGATACTCTTGGCCCATGAGAGTTAAAAATGTGTACGGCAAGCTCTTGGCCCACGAGACTTAAAAATGTCTACGACAAGCTCCTGGCCCGCATGAGTTAAAACTATGTACGGTCCCTTCAAATTACCAATTCAAATGGTACATATGAACTACGTTTGACTTGATCTCCTTCATAGGAGTATGTAGGCAGCTCAAAAGTTTCATTTTTGCGTTCTGTTATAACAAAACAAAACCCAATCAAGTTTTTAGCCAAAAGGATTACGAAAAACAAAGTCATACAAAGATGTGAGAGTTCTCAAGTATGCGCCTCGCCTGAAATTGATTGAGTTGAGCTTCGAACATCATCTTCTATCAGCGCCGCTCTAACCTTCAAATCGTTGAAGTGGTCATCCTTCAAACTGGCTAAGTGGCCAGCCTTCATAAACGGCAAAATGGCCGCCCTTCATAAATGGCATCAGCAGAGCATTGTATTCACAAGCAATCAAATTAAATTCTTTAGATCGGTGCCACTACCCTAACGAAGGGCCCCGAGCGACACCGATGACCGACAACCGGCCTAATTCTTTATATCAGTGCCACTAGCCCAACGAAGGGCCCCAAGCGACACCGATGACCGGCAATCGACCTAATTCTTTAGATCGGTTCCACTAGCCCAACGAAAGGCCCCAAGCGACACCGATGACCGGCAATCGGACTAATTGTTTAGATCGGTGCCACTAACCCAACGAAGGTCCCCAAGCGACACCGACAACCGGCAATAGACCTATTTCTTTAGATCGGTGCCACTAGCCCAACGAAGGGCCCCAAGCGACATCAACGGTCGGAAATTGGCCTAATTCTTTAGATCAGTATCACTCGCCCAACAAAAGGCCCCAAGCGACACTGACGACCGGCAATCAGCCTAATTCTTTAGATCGGTGCCACTAGCCCAACGAAGGACCCCAAGCAGCACCGACAACCGACAATAGGACTAGTTCCTTTATCTCCAATTAATGGCGCCATTACTTGAAATAGCAGAAAATCTGATCTCGGTATCATTTCAAAGCTGCTCATCTTTGAAGATAGCCCATACAAAAATTGAAAGGCTCAATTTATAAACAGGCCCAAAAGGCCCAATGTTTATTAAAAGAGCTGGCTCAATCCCCCAGTCATCTTCTTCGCACAAGAGGTCTCACGCTTCTAGCCGATGAGAACTGCAGAATCTCGTTGCAGACCTGCAAACCATCCTTCGTCGATCTCCAACTCGGCCTCTGACTGCGAACCTCCGGCGGCAACAGAATCTCTTCTTATCTTCTCTTTGGCGGCAACAGTAGCTCCCCGTCATATTCTCCGGCATCAATTTGAATTCTGGCCGGCGACTTCTCGATCTCAGCAACGCTCTCTCTCTGAAGAACGTCCAGATGGTAAGAGAGACTGGCAGGACCAACCGCAAATCACACCGCTCCACCTCCTTCACCCCCCTCGCCAGAAATCAGCAGCAAAGCATTATCAATTGTGATTTCCTGATTCTTCTTACAATTAATCAGAAACGGATATTGATGGTCATCCACCAACTGAGGTAAATTTGGTGCGGCTGACGTTTGCTTCCAACGAATTTCCCTGCAAAACACCATAAAGAGGAAGAATATACAGAGTAAATATCAACGAAACTTACCTTATGCAATTTCCTGCTCTATGAAACTGCTAAATCTTGGAATATAATTTGCCGATGCCTGATGAATCGTCCTGCAAAAATAAGCTGATATGGTCCCCTATTTATAATTGTTGTGTATCCGGATCCCATGTTAGCAGGAAGAGTTCTACTAGGAGTATATTTGTACTTAAGGCAGTGTCAAGAGTTCAAGTGGGACTCTAGTTTGACGCACCGTCACTTGTTTGAGCTGGGTATTTAAATTAGAGAAGGGCTTAGAATTAGAAAAGGCAGCTCAAGCTTTGAACCTACGGATGATTTTTTCCTCAAATATTTATTTGAAGAAGTATTGAACGGCTATGAAGTGCATGACACGTGTTTTTAATTGTATGGAGCGTGACTCACCTTAGAAACCTTTTATTTGGGATGCTTTTGTTTCATGAGTTTTAGACCGACTTGGTGAAGAAAATACATTATAAAAAACACGAGTGGTATGGTTCCACTTATTTCGAGACTTACATTTTTCCGTTCAAAATGTCTAAGCCAGTCTCGAGGGTACATTTGTGGACATATAAAAATTATTGGGCCAGTTGTGATGATTATTGGACTTCTTTAAAATATACGAGATTATTCTCAATCATTTTGGGCCTCTTTTGAAATTGTATTGAGCTAACGTCAACTCTACTGGGCTGCTTGTGGTGGTTGTTGGGTCTTATAAAATATTAATATGGACCCATTCGGATAAAATTTAATAATTGAATTAATCTGGGTCATTAAAAAAAATACCCAATTGATTTAATTATAAATTAAATCTTGTAAAGAATGGACCGACCCTATTAATGTTGAGCCCATTATAAAATATTTGCTCAATATATAAGAGTCATAATCCAATTAATAAAGAGAGCAATGAATGTGGTTAAGAAATCCATGTGTATGCATGAAAAATGGCTACGAACCTTGTTAAAAAGGCTGTACAGATACATCAGACAAGTGCTTATTTTTCTAGCTATTAAAATGCAAGAAATAGAGCCCAAAGCCCATTTTTCATTGAGGCCAAAGGGGTATGGACGAATTTACAAAACCCTAAAGCATATTTTCATCCCTCCACACCTATAAATAGGGGTCTCAGTTGAGAGGGAAGAGAGAGAATTTTCAGACGAAGAAATGCTGCAGAAAAGCTCTCAAGAACTCCCGAAAGGCTCTGAACGATCCCAAAGAAGAGGAATAGATCAAACCATGAATTTTATTAAGAACATACGAATAATCCTTCGTGATTTCGTCGATTCTTAATAAGACAAATCCAAAAGTTGAAGAACGTTCGAAGATCTGAAACGAAGCTTGAAGATTCGAAGAACTAAAGAACAAGACTCTGAAGATTCGAAGATATGAAGAACGAATCTTTGAAGATTTGAAAATCATATGAAGATTGAATTGAAATTCAATTGAAGATCAAGCCATATATCCCGGGAGGCCCTTAAACAAAAGATCCAGCCATAAAGCGGCCCTTTTGTTGAAGATCAAGCCACTTGAAAACCGGAGGCCCTTCAAGTTGAATTCTTAATTCAAGAAGATTTGAAGATCCGAAGAATGAAGATTCGAAGATTCAAAAACAAAACTTTGAAGGTTTGAAGATTCGAAGAACGAAGGTTCGAAGATTTGAAGATCTGACGAATATTCAATTATTTGAAGAATTAAAGATTTAATTTTGAATTAATTTCTTTAATTATATTTATTTCAAATTGCAAGTGAAGAATCAGAGGATTCATATTTAGAGATTGTACCCAATATTCTCACATATTATTATTTGCGATCAATTTTAAGTGAATACTTAAAATTTGTTTCACAACAGTACCTCGGCGTTGGGAGCCGGTCTCGAGATATGAGGACGACGGCACCGAGGGGCCGGTCCGAAATCCATGCAACGGCCGCCATCCGGTAAAGGAATGGCTAAGACCGGTCTTTAAGATATGGGACCACGCGAAGGCCGAGAAGTCGTTCGTGACCTGGGGACAACGACAGTGATGAAGCCGGTCGTTCGATGGAGGCGATGGTCACCATCTAAGAAGGGATGGCGAGCCCAATCGCTACAACAAGACTTCGGTGCTGTGAGCCAGTCTTGATGATGGATAATCACGTCAGGGCCGGGGGCCATTCATGACGTATGGACGGTGATGATGAGCCGGTCCAAAGAATGATGACGAGGCATCGATGAAGCCGATCGTCACATAAGCTCAGGACTCTCGGCGCTGAGGAGGCCGGTCTTTGAGATGTAGGATCACGTAGAGGCTGAGAGGCCGTTCATGATCTTAGGATGAGGCGATGATGAAGCCGGTCTTTTGATGAAGGGCAAGGCATTGCACGCGCGTCCTTTGATGAAGGACAAAGGCATTGGACGCTTGTCCAAGGTTGAGGATGATGACGCAGATGAGGCTCGTCCTTGATATGAAGGCGAGGGTCGCCATCCAGGAAGGGAGTGGCAAACCCGCTCGCTAGCCCAAGACGCTCGACACTGAGGAGGCCAGTCTTGAGATGAAGGACAAGGCGTTGGACGCCTATCCAAAGTTGAGGACGATGACGCTGATGAAGCTCGCCCTTTGATGATGACGGTGCTGATGGGGCCGTTCGTGACATGAAGGCGAGGGTCTCCATCCAGGAAGGGAGTGGCAAGCCCGCTCGCTAGCTCAAGACACTCGGCACTGAGGAGGCCGGTCTTGAGATGAAGGACAAGGCGTTGGACGCCTGTCCAAAGTTGAGGACGATGACGCTGATGAAGCTCGTCCTTTGATGACGACGGCGCTGATGGGGCCGTTCGTGACATGAAGGACCAGGCTTTCACTCTGGTTCCGAATATGAGGAGCGGCATTGGACGCACACCCCTTGATGATGATGGCGTTGACCCTGGTTCGAAGATGGACGTCGTTGGGGATGTTCATCCTTTGATGACGAAGGCGTTGATGACGTCGTACGTCATATAAAGGACCCGGTCTTGACGCGGGTCTAAAGATGGGGATGACACTGATGAGCCGTTTGTCCTTTGATGGAGGACGGCGTTGGACGCTTGAAGATGAAAGACGGCGTTGGACGCTCGTCCCCTAATGACAATGGCGCTGATGAAGCCGGTCGTCTGAATATGAAGGACGATGTTGGATGCACGTCCTTTGATGATGATGACGTTGATGAAGCCGATCGTCTGAAGATGAAGGACGGCGTTGGATGCACGTCCTTTGATGGCGATGGAGGTGATGAAGCCGTTCGTCATGCGAAGGACCAGGATTCGCCCCTGGCTTGAAGATGAGGATGGCACTGATGAAGTCGGTCCTTTGCTTGAGGATGAGGCGAGGGCACTCGTCTGAAGATGGACGGTGTTGGACGCTCATCTGAAGATGGATGGCATTGGACGCTCGTCCGAATATGAGGACCGACGCTGATGAAGCCGGTGCTGTTTAAGGACGAGGCGTTGGCGCTCGTCTGAAGATGGACAACGTTGGACGCTCATCTGAAGATGGACGACGTTGGACGATCGTCCAAAGATGAGGAACGACGCTGATGAAGCCAGACCTTTTTAAGGACGAGGCGTTGGCGCTCGTCTGAAGATGGACGGCGCTGGGCGCTCGTCTGAAGATGGGAGACAACGCTGATGAAACCGGTCCTGTTTAAGGACGAGGTGTTTGCGCTCGTCTGAAGATGGACGACGTTGGGTGCTCGTCTGAAGATGGGAGACAGCGCTAATGAAGCCGGTCCTGTTTCCCAGGAAGCAAGGCCTCCTATTTATAGAAAGAGGGAGGGGTTTCTAGTGGGCCAATGGGCCTCAAATGGGTCGGGTAGGCCTAAATGGGCCTCTCCTATTGGGCTCCGTACCGGGGCGGTGTCTTGGGCCTCTGAAAAATAGTAGGCCGGGATAATATTCCCCAACATAAGTCCCCCAGTTTCTTGAGTAGTGAGCCTGTGAATCTACTCGAGAAAGTATACTCTTGCTCACGTCCCTCCTTGCCTTTCCTGAATCAGCGTCTTCGAATAGTCTTGGACGCAAGGTATGCATAAGTGACAGGTGAGGTGTAACCCCCACACTAGGCACGACGGCGCTGTAGAGCCAGCCGCTCGTGCTGCATAAAAGTGATGATCGGCATCCTAGATTAAGGACCGACGAGCCCGATAAAAAAGAAGACACGACGACGCTGATGAGCCATCCGTTCGTGCTGCATAAAGCGGCGGTCGTCATCCTAGATCAAGGAATGGACAAACCTGACCGAGAGTCAGGCACGACGGTGTTGTGGATCCCGTTCGTGCTGCATAAAAACGGTGGCGGTCGTCATCCTAGATCAAGGATGGACGAAACCGACCGAGAGTCGGGCACGACGGTGCTGTGGAGCCCGTTTGTGCTGCATAAAAGCGGCGGTCGTCATCCCAGATCAAGGATGGACGAGCCCGACCGAGAGTCAGGCACGACGGTGCTGTCGAGCCCGTTCATGCTGCACAAAAGCGGCGGTCGTCATCCTAGATCAAGGATGGACGAGCCCGACCGAGAGTCAGGCACGACGGTGCTGTGGAGCCCGTTCGTGCTGCATAAAAAAGCGGCGGTCGTCATCCTAGATCAAGGATGGACGAGCCCGACCGAGAGTCAGGCACGACGGTGCTTTGGAGCCCATTCGTACTGCATAAAAAACGGCGCTTGTCATCCTAGATCAAGGATGGACGAGCCCGACCGAGAGTCAGGCACGACGGTGCTGTGAAGCCCGTTCGTGCTGCATAAAAAATGGCGGTCGTCATCTTAGATCAAGGATGGACGAGCCCGACCGAGTCAAATTCTGCTAGCTGAAATGATGGCTCCCTCCAAACTGTTAACATGTTCATCATTCGGTCATCCGGAATGATTCTACGTGTTAAAAGCTGAGGTGAGACTCTCTCCCTTCCAAACCCATAATTCTGATGCATTCCGAAGAGTTTCCTCTAATTCGTATCATCCATATTAGGGGGTTGAGGTGACCATATTCAAACTGTAAGCAAGATCACTAGATCGGGTGAATTCCTACTTAAGCTGAAATGGCGTCTCCCTCCAAGCTGTTAACCCGTTCGTCATTCGGTCATCCGGAATGATCCCACGTGTTAACAAGCTGCGGTGAGACTCTCTGAAAGTAGTGCCTCCCCGGACGACAAATTCATGTTACCGAACGTCGCTCGCTTTGACAATACTTGTTTTGACATCATTCCCAAGCCGTTTTGATCCCTTTATCATTCGTGATCCACGGGGTCAAAAAATATTTTAGTTGAGGTGAATCCCTCCAAGCCGTTTTGGTCGTGATCACAGGGTCAAATTTTTAGCTGAAATGGCGGCTCCCTCAAAACCGTTAACACGAAAGTCATTTTTTCGTCGGGGTGACTATACATGTTAAAAGTTGAGGTGAGACTCTCTGGGTTATGTCTCCCTTTCTGAATTCTCTATCTTCTTCTCTGAATCTTGAATGGCTCCGAACGGTATCTCGTACAACTCCTTTCCTAGTATCTTTTTTTTGTATAAACGTCTCTGCGCTTCGTGATCTCCTCGTTCGAGCTGACCGAACGACTTTGCCTAAATCTCTTTGCGTTG